ATGTTACCCAGGCTGGAGTGCAATGGCGCGATCTCGGCTCACCGCAAACTACGCCTCCCGGGTTCAGGCAATTCTCCTGCCTCAGCCTCCTGAGTAGCTGGGATTACAGGCACGCGCCACCATGCCCAGCTAATTTTTTTGTAGTTTTAGTAGAGACGGGGTTTCACCATGTTGACCAGGATGGTCTCGATCTCTTGACCTCGTGATCCACCTGCCTCGGCCTCCCAAAGTGCTGGGATTACAGGCGTGAGCCACCGCGCCCGGCAAGTTTTTTATTTTCATGTAATTTTAATTTTTTTTTGGGGGGGGGCATGGAGTCTCACTTTTTTGCCTAGGTTGGAATGCAGTGGTATGATCTTGGCTCACTGCAACCTCTGCCTCCTGGGGTCAAGCAATTCTCCTGCCTTAGCCTCCCAAGTAACTGGGATTACAAGTGTGCACCACCACGCCTGGCTAATTTTTGTATTTTTAGTAGAGATGGGGTTTTGTCCTGCTGCCAGACTGGTCTTGAACTCCTGACCTGAAGCTATCCACCCACCTCGGCTTCCCAAAGTGCTGGCAATAAAGTTGTGACCCACTGTGCCCAGATGAGTTGTATTTTATAGAGAACATATAAACATTTGACATTACAAGCAGAATAATTTGTATATTCTTTTTTCTTTCTTTCTCAGTTACTTCACTTTTACTATGTCACATTTTCACCAAATCAAGGTGTGCAGAGTTTCATATTAATGTATAACTGAATTTTTTTTGTCAAATAAATAGGGAATTATCTTTAAACCATCTCTGTATTTCACAGCCAGTCCAAGAGCACATAAGAGCAAATTCTGATATATCCTGGGGAACTTATAACCAACCAGGCATAAAGCTTAAAGGGAAAAGGCCAGGCTGAGGGGGCTAGCAGCAGGTCACCATTAGCATGCAGGGCTAGGCTTGGTCCTAGGATTCAGGCAGGAGCCCTTGTTCCCAGACCACCCAGCAGTCCTCAGATGGCATGATGGATGGACATGAATTCTTGAATTCCAGTCTGAGATGCCTCTTCTAGAGGAAAGAGAGATGACAGGAGGCAAAGGGAAACCAATTCTGGAAATACCAGTAGAGAAGCAGAGGGACTTCTTCCCCTGTCACCATGGCCTTGCCTCTGATTACACCCATGGAAGCTCATGTTAAAGCTCCAAATGTCACACAGAGGTGGCAACAGAATGATCAAGGATTGGAGAGGGAGTTTGAGACCAACCTGGGCAATATAACAAGACTCCATCTCTATAAAAAATGAAAAGAAAACTAGCCAGGCATGGTGGTGTGTGCTGCTTGGGAGGCTGAGATGGGAGGATTGCTTGAGCCCAGGAGGTTCAGGCTACATTGAGCTATAACTGCACCACTGCACTCCAGCCTGGTGACACAGCAAGACACTGTCTCTTAAAAATAAAAAAGAGGATAGGGAAGGGAATTTGAGTATGACTGTGGCTGGAGCCTGGCTGAATAGAATGTGGGTTGACAGTCTGAAAAGACAGTGGCCTTCCACAGCCAGGCAGTTGCCAAAGTGGAAGGAACATAAGTAGTTCCAGGCAGGGCACCCTCAGGGATGACACTTGGCTGATCTGATGGAGCTTATGAGGTCGAGTGTAAAGTGGCTACCAAAATGAGGGAGCTGGACTATGGTAGAGAAGGTTAACCAGAGAATCCCTCTGTGGGGAGAGGTTACTAGAGCAAAACAGGAACAAAGGGCACACCTTGTGTTCCTGAGGAAGAGCCCCAGAGATGGTGAGAGGGAAGCATGGCTGAATAGCGCCTGTGGGCTCTGGAGCATGGCAAGTTGTAAGACACTGCTCCAGAGTCAAGGGGCCTCTGCTCTTCCTTCAACACTATTCCTGGTAACTGTTGATAATAAGACCTGGAGAAGAACAAGGCCCTCCCATCTCCCACAACCCAGACTCAGCCCCAAGGAGAGGATTAAAGAGTGATGAGTGGTAGGAGGCAGGGAAGTGTGAGGGGTCTACTGGGTCTCCTTTTATTTATTTATTTGAAATGGAGTCTCGCTCTGTCACCAGGCTGGCATGATCTCTGCTCACTGTAGCCTTCACCTCCTGGGTTCAAGTGATTCTCCTTCCTCAGCCTCCTGAGTAGCTGGGATTACAGGCATGTGCCACCACACCTGGCTGATTTTTGTATTTTTAGTAGAGATGGGGTTTTACCATGTTGGTCAGGCTGGTCTCGAACTCCTGACCTTGTGATCAGCCTGCCTTGGTCTCCCAAAGTGCTGGGATTACAGGTGTGAGCCACCATGCCCAACTTTGAGTCTTCTTTTAAATTTTTTAATTTTGGCCGGGCGCGGTGGCTCACGCCTGTAATCCCAGCACTTTGGGAGGCCGAGGCGGGTGGATCACGAGGTCAAGAGATCGAGACCATCCTGGTCAACATGGTGAAACCCCGTCTCTACTAAAAATACAAAAAATTAGCTGGGCATGGTGGCGCGTGCCTGTAATCCCAGCTACTCAGGAGGCTGAGGCAGGAGAATTGCCTGAACCCAGGAGGCGGAGGTTGCGGTGAGCCGAGATCGTGCCATTGCACTCCAGCCTGGGTAACAAGAGTGAAACTCTGTCTCAAA